TGAAGTTATTAATATTATAATAATTTTGGAGAGAAATTATATAGCACTTTCAATTACCCCCTCTTTGACATGTTCTTTTTAAAAAATTCATGTTTTATTTGGTCATCCTATATAACTATGACTTTTAGAAAATGACCATATTCAAAGAATTAAAATTATAGATGACACAAAGGTTAATGGAAAGATGCCTGGTGGGTTGAAAGTAAGTTGTGCCCTTACAAGTAAGAAGTGCCATAAAAAGGTTATTTAAAATCTAGTAAAAGAGTTAAGGTACTCATGTAGCTAGAGCAAGGACATTTAAACCGCCTGCCGACTGCACTATTTTTCTCCATTTAGATCTGGTATTATACAGGGGTTCTTTGGGTATATATTGAGAGCTGGAAGGGGAAATAAGAAATCATCTATTGCATTTTACAGATGAGGAAACTGGGTTACGGAGTGACTTGCCTATGGTCTCATAGCTGGTAATTGACATATATGAGATATGAGCCTGAGTCACCTGAGTTCAAATACATTGCTCTTTCCACTGTCCCATTTCCTATTTCAAGAGTTTAATGATTTCATCAGTTCTAGTGTTCCCAAAGAGCAGCTAGGTGGCACAGCGATTAAGCCACTGGCCCTGGAATCAGGAGGACATGAGTTCAAATCTTACTGACACACTTATTAAATGTGTGACTCTGGACAAGAAACTTAATCCTGTTTGCCTCAGTTTCTTTATCTGTAAAATGAGCTGGAGAAAGAAATGGCAAACTACTTCAAGTATCTTTGCCAAGAAAGTCTCAAGTGGGGTTGCAAAGAGTCAGACACAACTAATTGACTAAGCAACAATAATAAGTGTTCCTTCAAAGAATACAGACAACATCTATGCTTTAGTAGGTCATTTTATTACTTGCTTTGACCAAAAATTTTTACCACCTAGTGGTTGACTATTTCATGATGTACCTTCTCTGCGCTCAGTGAGTCTGATACAAGCCACTAGACAAGTTGTTTCCCTCTCTGAGCCTTAGTTTCCTTATCAATTAAAATTAGGGGTTTGTATTAAATTGTTTCTAAAGTCCTTTCTAACTGTCACATTCCACAGGTCTATGGGCCTGTGGGTTAGTGTAGTATCTGCTGAAAGTAGCATGGTTTCAATATTATCTCCTCCTTTACCTCTGTCTCACATGAAGAAGTGGCCCTTCTTGCCAAGGTAAATCCCTCTACACGCTCAATCCCACTTCATCCCATCTTCTCCAGCAGATTGCCCCTTTTGTCATCCCAACTCTCAATAATTTTCAGTCTCTCCCTGTTTACTGGCTTCTCCTGTATTGCCCATAAATATCCATGTCTTCCCCATCCTCAAAAAGCCCTCACTTGATCTTTCCATTCCTGCTACCTTTAGTTTTATATTTCTCCTCCCTTTCATGACTGAACTTGAGAAGGCTGGTGAAAGGTGTCTCTATTTTCCTTTTTCTCAATCTCTTCTAAATTCTCTGCAGCTTGGCTTCGTGATCATATCATTCAACTGAAATAGCTCTTTCCAAAGTTGCCAGTGATATCTTAATTGTCAAATCGAATGGTCTTTTCTCAATCCTCATCCTTCTTGACCTCTCTGTGGCCTCTGTAGCCTTTGACACTGTCTCAGTACACTTCTTGGTCTCTTCCTCACATTCTGACCACGCCTTCTCAGTCTCCTTTGCTGGATGCTCATTCACATCAAGCCTGTTAAGTCTGTGCTCCCTAGAGCTCTCTTCCTTTTTTCTCCCCCATCCTGTTTTGCTTGGTGATCTCATTAGCTCCCATAGATTCAGTTACTTATGCAGATGATTTTCAGACCTATTTGTCCAATCCTATCCTCTCTCCTGACTTCCAATCTCATTTCTCCAACTCCCTATTGTGTATCTCAAACTGGATATCCCGTAGATATCTTAATCTCAATCTCATCTTTCTCCCCTAAGTTCTCTCTTCTTCCTAAGTTTCCTGTTATTATCAAGGGTGCCATCATCCTCCTGGTCCGTTGGGCTTATAAACTAGGCGTCATTGTCAGTTCCTCAGTCCTTCTTACCCACTGTATCCAATCTGTTGCCAAGGTCTACCTTTGAAATGTCTCATCTATGTCCCCTTCTGCTGGCTGAAACTGTGACTACGCTGCTGTTGGCCCTCATCCTTCAAATCTTAGCAAAAATCCTACTACCTGCAAGAAGACTTTCCTACTCCTGCTTAATTTATAGTCTTCTTTCTAATTTACTTGCATTTTTTGTACATAGTCATTTGCATGTTGTCTTCTCCATTTTTTGAGTACCACAGAACCCAGTTAGAACACAAGATGCTATTATGCAGACTCATATATAACATGGATCCAATTCTGTGCTCAAAATACTACAGCAATTGCTAGGAACATCTTGACATAAGAGCCTTCAGTCTTATTTTCCATAATGCCTGTACATAGTAGGTGCTTAATAAATACGTATTGAATGGTGCAGTGGAAGAATATTGGGTTTGGAATCAGAAGACCTGGGTTCAAAGTGTCAGATCAGCACTGCCACTTCTTATTTGTGTTTTATTGGGTAAATCACTTTATCTCACCAGGTCTCAGTTTCCTCATCTATCAGTCATGGAAGACTATAGTTATTATTGTTGTTAAATATGATGATAATAATAATAGTTGACATATGTAGAGGATTTTAGGATTTATTTTTGTAAATTTATATTTTTTTAAATTTTCTTTGGGACCCACAGATTTTACAAGAGGCTAAAGAAACCTATTAGTCTATCAGGCAGATCTTTTGCAAAGGATTTATATAGTCAGAAATGGGCAAGAATCACACAGGATAAAAAAGCTAGGAAAAAATAAACAAATAAAACCCTTGTAACAAATATTCATAGTTAAGTAAAATAAACTTTCATGTTTGGTTAAGTCTGAAAATGCATCCCTCATTCTTCGCTCTGAGTCATCCCTTCTCTCCTAGGAGTTTGGTGGTGTGCTTCATCATTAGTCCTCTAGAATCACGGTTGGCCATTGCATTGATCAGAATTGTTAAGTCTTTGGAAGTTGTTTGTCTTTAAAATGTTGTTATTAAAGAAATTGTTCTTGTGTCATGCTCATTTCACCTTGCATCAACTCATCCACATCTTCCCAAGTTTCTCTGAAACCATCCCGTTCATCATTTATTATAACTCAATAATATTCTATTACTTTCACATACCATACTTTCTTTAGATATACCCTAATTGATGGGTACCACCTTATTCTCCAGTTCTTCACCATGATGAAAAGAACTGCTATAAACATTTCTGTACATATGGATCTTTTTTTGTTTCTTTTATCTCTTTAGGAACTAATAGTTTCATTGTGTACCTATATATGTTTATAGGAAATGCCTAAGAGCATATGACTTTTTCATGGGTACCTACAAATGTGAATTGGGCTTGGAACCTAAGCACCTTCACTGACTGTGGATGATCCATTGAATGTGGTGAATAAAGTTGTGTCAAATCATGAAGAATTCAAGTTATTACTCATTTCTGGGATGATGGGTGGGGTGAGGAAAGACTTAATGTTTATGGCCAAGGAAAAATGATATGAATTCTTTTGATAAATTTCTTATTTCCTTATATGCCATAGCAATACAGAAAGGGATCAGTGATTTACAAGTATTGTGCAGAACGTGACATAGTCTTTGCAACTTGAAATAGGGCAGAGTACTTAGAGTAGATCTCCCAGAGAGGGGGATGAAAATTCACCATTATAATTCATCAGCATGCTCCAAAAGAATCATGCTCTTCAGGAATTTTTTATTTATGTCTCATCTTTTATTTTAACTCTTGGACTTTTATCAAATGCTGTTGTTTTGCAGGTTGGTGCTAGGGAAAAGCTACAAACCCAATAAAAATATAATGGTAAATTCTCAGTATAGTGGAGCCTCCTGCAAAAGGAGGAAGTTGGAAGAGATTTCTTCTGAGATCTCTTCCAGGGCTAAATCTTAGCAACCAATGTTGGAAAATAAGACTGAAGGCTCTTATGTCAAGATGTTCCTAGAGATTGCTGCAGTATTTTGAGGACAGAATTTGATCCATGTTATATCTGAGTCTGTGTAATAGCAACTTGTGTTCTAACTGGGTTCCGTGGTACTCAAAAAATCTTGTTACGTTTGAGTTTTAAATCTCCTTGTCTTATTATTTCCTGCTGCCATTTGGTATTTGTATTATATGTGGCAACAATGGGTCAATCGCTTTTTTAGTCTTTAGGAATTAAGGATAAATGATGTCACCATAGAAGGTGACCAAAGGTTACTGATTCTGTGTTACATTTTCATTGGAGCAAAAACTGATACCCACCAATAACCACAAGGGGGCAGATTTCCTAGTATCTTAATTCCTTCTATGTTGACCTTGATATGAATTGGTAGAATAAAGGGTTTCAGTGATGCTATTATTTAAAATAGATGCTATTTAATATTTCATTTTGTAAATAAGACGAGATTTAAATGGGCCACCTTGTTTATGCAATATATTCATGACATTTTAAAAGATTTCATTTTGGATCTCATGGGATCTCAGATGAGCCCCTTCTTTCTGAGCCTTGGTTGCCTCATCTGTGAAATGATGGAATTGGGCTTGAGGACCCTAATGTCCCTTTCAACTCTAATGTCCTGTGAGTCTATATTTCAGTGTGTTTTAGAGTTTTTCCAGTCTGAATAAGGTTTTGGCGGGCTTGTGAGAATCTCATAATTTTCATTGAGTTCTGTGGAAACTCACAAACTTAAAGACCATATTGTCAAGTTTTAATAAGTACATACTATATGTGCCAAAGTCTAGTGTTTATTACATATTCATCAGTGCTGGAAAATGTTGATATTATTTTCTGCCTCTGAATATAAAGAGGCTATTCCTATATAAGGAATTATAAAATTCCTTAAAATTTTTGGATGAAAGTTACACTTTTGAGTACACTATAGTTCTTATTACAGGTGATTTAAATGATCAAATTCTGAATTTCTTTTTCTCTCTCCTTTTTCAAGGCAAGAGCTGTTCTGGCAAAAGTTGGCTACCCCAAGTTTGTAATGAATGATACTTATGTTAATGAAGACCTCAAAGCAGTAAGTGTTAAATTTGCTGTATTTTTTCCTGGCAAGTTTTACTGGCTTTGTTTCTTTCAACTAATCCAAGTCCAAGCAATTAAGTGTGGTTGTGCCAGAAAGCGCTGACATTTGATTCATTATTTGGCTTGACAGAAGATGGAATTTGCCAGACAAACTTAGATCAACCTTAAAATCAAGGAAGTGTTAATATGAAGGCAGAGCTAAGTGAGTACCATGGAGCACAATTGGCATGTTTCCACTTAATTTAATCATTAAAAAATTAAACATGTCCAATATTTCATAAAAAATAGATCCTGTCTAATTTAGCCACATCATCAAATGGACTTTTTAAACAATCTTTTTCTTATTTGTGTCATTATATTGAATTAATAGTGATTAATCTGTCCACAGAGAGGGAATATCATTAAACTTTATGTGTGTTTTGGCAATTTAAGTGCACATATGTCTCAAAAATTCAGTGGCATTGACATTGTATATCTATAGTACATTATTCAGGGCTGATGGAAGAAAAGACATCACTCTTTTTTACTGTATTTTTTGGGGGAATTTGTGCCTGTCAGTAAGATAATCTTCTATTAATAAACTTATCATAGCCACTGTCATCGCCTATTTTATATGTAAATTTCTACAGCTTTATAAAAATTGTGATCTTACCAGTCGCTTGATTTTTTTTTTTTACTAAAAACAATCCCCCTAAACCCTTAGGAATTATTTAAAAATAATAAAAGATCCATTTGAAATAACTGTGATTTTTGAGGTAAAGTTTGCATTTTTTACTTCCTGTGAGATGGTGGTATTCTTCATCTCCTAGGTTGAAAATCTTAGCTTTTTTAAAACCAAAAGGGTCAGAAATTCTCCAGGAATCTTTGGAGGATCATGGGATGATGGATGTAAAGTTGAAAGTCAACTTTGAGATCACATTCAACTCCCTCATCTCAAAGATGAGGAAATTGAGGGCCAGTGAGATTAATTAATTTTCCCAAGGACACATAAATAGTAAATGACAAAACTAGGATTCAAACCCAGTGCCTCTAATTAAAATCCAGGATCCTTTTCATTGCACCACAAGATGTCAGACACAAAGGATTTATCGTATGTAATTAAGAACGTTCTTTCTGTGCTCCCAGATGGGCAATACAAAGTGTCTCTCTGATTGCCTTGGATGACAGTAAAATAGACTTCCCAAATCCCTAACCTTGGATTTCTTTAAGAAATGCCTTTGTGAAAGAGTAAATATAACTGAGCCCCCTTATACCATGGCTCACTAGTGCACATTGATTTGGATATGCTGCAGGTCAGATCATTTCACCTGAAACACCAGTACATATTGGAAAAGATGAAAATAATGCAGCTAGCCCATCAGGTGGGTATTAGTCCTGTTCTCCAGCATGGGGTTCAACTCAATCCAACAAACATTTATTCAGTGCTTGCTATGTGACAGGCACTATATAATAGTCTGGATGGTAGTGGAAGCATTCCACTCCCCTGTACTTGGGGGCAGGGGGTGGGAAGAGTATGATTGATAGTGACATACATCACAAACTCATGGCTACTTTTGAAAACTTTAGTGGTCCACATCATAACATCATAGATTTGGAGCTGGAAAGGACCTCACAAGTCATCTAGTGCAGTATTCTCATTTTGCTGATCAGGAAACTGAAGCACAGAGAGGTTCTATTACTCCACTGAGGTCAAGTAGGAGGTAAAATTAGGATTTGAATCTAGGAGGCCTTGAGCTCCAAATCCAGAACCAATTCAACTGTACTACATTGTTTCTTTTCTTCTCTTAGCTGATCCAAGAAGAAAAGCTTAATATTAAGCGAGAAAAAAAATAGCACATCCTTGCTGTGTGAATTGGAATAAAAAAACATGGTTTAGTTTAATTTTTTTCCTAAGAAATGTATCAGATTGAGGCAGCTAGGTAGCATAGCGGCTAGAGCACTGGCCCTGGAGTCAGGAGGACCTGTTCTGAGTTCAAACCCAGCCTCAGACACTTACTACCTGTGTGGCCTTGGGCAAGTCACTTAACCCCGATTGCCTCCAGGAAAAAAAATAAAGAAATGTTTCTCATCAATGTATATGGTACATATCTGTCTTATGGGCAAGTAAGTCATTTGAAATGCCCATATATTTTCCTTTGTCTTTTGAAGAACTAAAGTGCTTATGTTGCTCATAAGCATTTTAATCAAAGGTTTAAAAATAAAAAATACTAAACCAAAATTAGGAAAAGGCAGAATGATGGAATAGATAAAGAGCCAACTTTCAAACTAAAAATACCTAAGTCCAGGTCCTGATTCTGATACATATTAGCTGTGTGACCCTGGGCAAGTCATTTATCTTTTCAGTGAGCTAGGCTAGTGGGTCTCAAACATTTTGGTCTCAGAATCCCTTTATACTCATAAATTATTGAGGACCCTCCTCAAAGAACTTTATTTATGTAGGTTATATCTATTAGAAATGAATATCAGAATGTGAAAGCATCTTTAGTTTTGACCTCATGTAACCAATGAAAGGGTGTTGGGCATCCCCAGTGGTCCCTGGACCATATTTTGAGAACTGATGCTCTTAGCAACTCTGTAATACTATATTCTGTATAGAAGGTGCTGACCTGCATTGATAGGAGTTTCTTTATCTGGGAGTTCCCTACATAGAAGAACTCAGAGGTGTGCTCTCCATCCCTAAGATTTCAAAAGGCTTCAGTGGGTGTTTTGGAAATAAGCAATCCCTTCCCCTTTTTCCCTTCTTATAGCATTAACATTTTCAGAATTATTTCTGAGCATGACTTAAAATGAATTAATTTGAAATTGAGAGATACTCTAATAGCAATGCTTTATTTCTTTTGTTATACTCACTGTCTGTTTTTTTTCAAAGAACATTTAAAGTCCTTTATATCTCTTAGTGAGACTGACTGCATTTCCTTTCACTGATTATGTCCTTGTCACCTCTGAGGGCAATAGCTTTATTTTTCCATTTAATCTTTGGCATTTGGCTGTTGGCATCTGGGTTGGAATTTCCAAGAAGGGAAGCTCCTAGTTACACTGAATTTTGCAATGTCGACAGCTGTTGCCTAGGAAATGGGCTGAGCTTACAATTAGCTTCACAAAGGTCACTCAGTTGAAAAGTTGAGATGAAATTGATTGAAAGTCATTACCAACTTGGCCTGGATTTTTCAATGGCAGCTGAATGATGGAAACTCCTTGAATCGATTATACTTTGTAGTGCTTAAACAACAATTTGTTGCAGATTATTGGTGGTTTCAAAGTGTTCCTCTGGTAAGTATATAACAAAGCTCTGGAAAAAATACCTTGAAGATGACATGTCTCAAGGAACTAAAACTTTCCTATAGTTTCTATATTTTATGGTTATTCATTCAAATGTAGGATTTACAATAACTGTAGTGAGATGGGTCATCTCTTATGAACAATAGAATAAACCCCCACATTAGATTAAGGAAAATATAAGAAGATTGAGATAAAATACAAAGTTCATTATTAATCACCTCCCCCATCCTCACATCCAATCTGTTACCAAGTCCTATTGATTTTCCCTTTTGTGATGTCTCTCACATATGCTCATTTCTCTCCTCTGACATTGCTACCACTCTGGCAGTTCTTCACCTGTCATGCTTGGACTATTGAAATAGTCTGATGATTTGTCACCCCTACTCTTCAAGTATCTCTCCACTCCAGTCCATCCTCTACTCACTTGTCAGATTAATTTTCCTAAAGGGCAGGTCTGACCAGGTCACCCCTTCTCTCCCCCAAACATTCAATAATAATTCAATAGCTTTTCCCAGTTGGCAGACTCTGTCAGATGAGGTATTAGTTGAGGTATGATGAGGTATTAGAGTTAAAGACTTTCATGGAGGGAAATAACCTCTAATGTTAAATATACGAGGGCAAGGAAAAGCTATTTTTTGTAGTCACAATAGCATCCCCCTACCACAGTGATTTGGATATCCACTTGGTAGTGTCAGCTTTATCCAGAAAAGGAGGACCTTTCATAGAAATCATTGTGTTTTGAACTACAAAAGATTAAATCTGGAGCCAATCGATCAAGATGGAGAACTGGACATTTTTTCTGATCCCCTTACCATCTCTAAAACAGAAATTGTGTATCAAAGATAAAGCAACTTCATCTTTCTCCATGATATAGGACACTCAGAATCCAAAAGAAATTTTAAAAAAAGACCCAAATTAAAACAAACAAAAAGAAATCCATGAATTAATGCTATGAGCTCACTCAGCACCCCTCTTCCACCTCCTATGTGGCCAGCAACAAGTCTACACTAATTTATCCAAAGATCTAACATGTGGGCCTGCAGAAAACTGACCCCCAAATCCTGGTGCCCCCTCCCTCTCTCTCTGTTGCTAGGGAGATCCTGGCTCCAGTTTGCAGAAGTTTGTTCAAGTTGTGAGAGACAGGTAGGGCCAATGTTCTGGCAGTGCTCCATTTGAAGTTTGGTGGGGTCATGTAGCCAGTGGCCCATCAGGCAGTGGTATGTTCTGCAAAAGATTTCTGCAGGGGATGTAGGAACAGAAAAGAAGTGGCAGAATACATGTCTGAAATAGAGCTTAACATCACACCATATCCCCATGTGTCCTTCTTGGAGCCTAAACTACAGAAATCAACCCTGTAGCATCATTATGGCAGTTCTCTAAACTGCTGGTGCTGGGCTAGAAAACTGAGGAACAGAGGGAGTGAGACAAGGCCCCCATAAAAAGTCACTCTGTATGTGTGTGTGTGTGTGTGTGTGTGTGTGTGTGTGAAGGAAAGAGCTCAGTATTCAGCAGGACCAGTTTGGGAAAGGGTCACCCTGCTCCCCACCCTGAATTTCTTGGGGCAGAGAACTAGCTTAGTGATCTAGGACTTGACCAATATGAGAGGAAGTAGAGATGCTTTGAGATTAAGCCCTCAAGGAAACCATTATCAGAGGGAAGGGAATCAGAAAGTCAGTAATAGGAGAAAATGAGGGAGGAAAAAACCTGATCTCAGGA